TGTAACTGCTGCAGCTGCTGCTGCTGCTGCTGCAGCTGCTGCAGCAGCAGCAGCAGCAGCAGCAGAGCCTTGAAGGCATATGTGCAGTGACGCACAGAACAAGAGGACCAAAACCCTAAACCCTAAACCCTAAAAAAGGGTTTAGGGTTTTCACTCAGCTGCACTTGCTGCTGATCGGGGTCCTCTCTGTATATATATGAATGCAAGCAAATTTTATTATTTTCCTTTTAATTATATAAATAAAAATGTTTATTTATTTATTTATTTATTTATTTATTTATTTATTTATTTATTTATAGATAGGGGGACAGATGCAGCAGCCGCGGGGCCCCCGCTCGGGGGGGGCCCCACACGGCTTGAGGGTTTAGGGTTTAGGGGTTTTTAGGGTTTAGGGTTTAGGGTTTACGAGGGTTTTACAATATAATTTATAAATTAAATTAATATATTTATTTTTTTTTTATATTCTGCTGAGAGGAGGGAGAAGAACACAACGCTGCAGCTCCTACTGCTGCCGATGAGGGTTTAGGGTTTAGGGTTTAGGGTTTAGGGTTTATGATTGGTAGTTAAGGGTTTTGTATAAAGAGAAGAAAACCCCAAGCAGTAGTAGTATTCATATTGAGGGGTTTTTATTTCTAGGGTTTAGGGTTTAGGGTTTGCATTCGACTCTAAGGTCTAGGGTTTAGGGTCTAGGGTTTAGGGTTTAGGGTTTAGGGTTTAGGGTTTAGGGTTTACGTTCGATGCGCCTGGCGGGTCTTCAACAAGATGCGGCTCCTCACGCATAACCTCCTCATGTGGTAAGCCAGCATCAGCAGCAGCAGCAGCAGCAGCAGCAGCAGCAGCTGCTGCAACAGCAACAGCAGCAACAGCAGCAGCAGCAGCAGCAACAGCAGCAACAGCAGCAACAGCAGCAACAGCAGCAACAGCAGCAGCAGCAGCAGCAGCAGTAGTAGTAGTAGTAGTAATGTGAGCGTCTGCACGGGGACCCTCAGCACAACAAACCCTAAACCCTAGAAACCCTAAACCCTACACCCTAAACCCTAGAAACCCTAAACCCTAAACCCTAAACCCTAAACCCTAAACCCTAGTGTTTATATGCATCTCTCTTGTATATATTTGTGTATTTATTGCAATTGTTTATAAAATGTATAGATGTTCATAGGTCTCTGATCATGTATGTATATATTCTAGGGTTTAGGGTTTAGGGTTTATTAGGGTTTAGGGTTTATTAGGGTTTAGGGTTTAGGGTTTGTGGTTTTGTGCAGCAACCGGCGGCAGTGTCCTGGTGGTTATCCCCTAAAAATAAAAATAGAGAACAAAGAAAAAGCAACAATCACAACGGAGACAGAACTACAAAAAAGTTTATTAATTTCTCTGCTGAAAAAACTCGATTGGGGGGCTCTTGTTTGTACAGCAGCAGAGGTCCCTATACACCCCA